GGAGGTGGGTGGGTCGAGGCGTGTGTGTGTGTGTGTGTGTGTGTGTGTGTGTGTGTGTGTACGAACTGTTGGCAATAATCAAACAAAAATCATCAGAGACCAGCGAAGGCAGCAGATCTCCTCTGGGCCTTCACTACAAGGGTCTCCGTATTCCCCAGACCGTCTGAGAAACACTAGCACTACAGTGTTCTCCTGGGTCAGGAAACAGTGGGTGAGATTAGAAAGGAATGGGAAAGAATTGAATGGAGAAGTGCATCAGAGTCTTTCCTGCCTGGATTGTGGCTGGAAACATGGTTCACCAACTTCTGAGCCGAATAAAAAATGTTGGGCATGGGAAGGGAGACTTCTGTGTTTGTTGTTTCATCAAGTTCCTTAACGGCTTTTTCTGGCATTTTTCCCCCCCCCTCCTCGCCCCTGCAAAGGTCATTTTGGTAACTCCGTTATCCGAGGTCTCCTTGCCATGAGCCTGACAGCCAATGCGATCTTCACTTCAGCCTACCTCTACCAGAGCCTGCGCTGACCTGCACCGCCCCGGCTCTCTCTGGCACCACCTACTTCCCAAGAGACTCTGACACAAGAACAATTCAACCACAGCTTTGGTGTCTTATGGCCGTGCCACAGGTGCATGCTGCTTATCAACCACTGCCTGCCAGGCTGCAGTGACACAGAACCAGACAGCTGCTGTTGCCACCTCTGAGCAGAACGTATCGAAGGGCTGTTGTGATGCTGGAGGTGGCCAGTGGGACTCTTTGCAATACCCGGCTCAAGGTCAGCTAATGTCCCTTGCACCTTCTTTCTAAAGAATCGGTCTATGGCATGAACTGGAGAAGATGTAAATGACCTGGTTGGCTTTGTCTCATCCCATCTTTCCCACCTATTAACCAACCTCAGATGGACGGTGGTGATGGAATAAGAAGAATTCGAACAAATAAGTTGGAGGCAAGAGGCGGGACCTGGGCTTCGATTATTGAAATGGTTTCCCCAGCCTGGTTTCCTTGTTGGCACCTATTCTCCCTCCCTCTCACTCTCCCTGGTTCGTTCTATATGAATGGTTTTATGTCCTCCTTAAGGTTTCCAGAACCCATGGGGGGACCTAAGCTGCTCCGTGATTCTCTTGCATAGTGGGGTGTTTGTGTGTGGGGGGGTTGTAATCTATCCAATCTGCTGTCTGAGGTCTCTCTAGCCAGTTGCCTTCCTGCAATTCTGGCTCCTGGTAACAGTTCATGTCCATTGCTCAAACCAGTACAGCTGCTATAGGGCTGGGCACATCTGCATCGGAAAAGCAAACCCATGTTTTTCGCCTTGCCAGGAGGCGCCAATACTACTGTCATAAGATGTGCCCTGATGTGCTTGCATCGTGCCTCGGGCTCCAGGCTGCAGTTCTGACTGCTGGTGTGTTTGCTGACATCGGGAGCTGCACAGCTTGTTCTTACAGTAAACCACATAAACATACTGTTTTGGAAACTGTGGGAAGAGCGCTTCTAACAGGGAGGAGTCTGATAACATGCCCCATTCTAGAGGCCTGGGTCCTCGTGGTTGGCAGAGGCCTGTATCATTCACTATTTAAGGCAGATTAGCCAAGAAGGCAATACAAGTGTGTCTCAGCTAGAGATGCACCAGGCCAGCTAAGCATCCAGGATGTCCCTTAAAATCCATGGTGGTCGCCCAAGACTTTCAAAAATAGTTTCTAATTTTGAGTCTCAATTTTTTGGGTGTCCAATTTGAGATGCCTTAAAGGAGCCAGGTAATTTTTTTTCCCCAGAGGGTGAGTGTTTAGCATCCTTGGAAATCAGGTCCTTTTTAAGGTGTCAAGTTGGGCACCCAAAATCACTAAGCAGGTCCGAAAATTTTGGCCTGAGTGTCCAAATTCCTACATCCCAACCCCATGGCTCAAAGGAGACCTGGCTAACACTAAGGACGAGGCCTCTGATAGGACTCCGCCCAGAACCTTCCTGTTGTCCTGGTCCTGTTCTTCTTTTGGTCTTGAATCCTCTTACCTCTCCCCATCTTCTGTTCTGGAACTACTGAATTGCGCTTGCCATGTTTCTTCCCCACTGCATGCCTGGCTACTGTCTGCTTTGGGCATTCCTCCACCTCCTCCACACCCAACCACCGTGGTAGTCTGCTGGCAATAAGAGACTTCCCCATTAATCTGAAAATCTCACCTCCTCGTGGGGATCAGGTGCTTTAAGAAACTGCTTTTCCTTCATGTCGCTTATTGAGCCATCCTGCCCTCTCCTAGACAAACAAAGTGATAACCTAACACTCTAATCAATATGCTGCCGGTCCAGGTGGGTGGCCTTTATTGCTGGTGACTCGAGCTGTGGAAAATCAAGTCTTGCTCTCCCTGTGTCACTGGCACCTATTCTTGCATTATCTTAGCAACCCTCTTCCAGCCCCTATTGATCAGCGAAGCCCTCTCTCTCGTTACATGCAGGAGACTGATTGACTGCCACGGGTATCTCTTATCAAGAGATTGTGGAAGCAGGATCTCTGACACTACAGCTTTGTCTGGACCCTCCTTTGGTGCTCTGGCCTGGCTGTCTACCCGGCAACTCCTTCACCATGGCCTAGATTCAGACTAGCAACTGCATCAGAAATAGTGGGCCATGCAGTATGCTGATTAGTAACTCTTTGTAATTTGCATTAATGGTTTCCCATGTTGGGCTAGTCCACAACCTCACTGTGATGAGATTTGTGTACCTTTGACGTTTCTTTGGGTTGTATTTAGTGTTCGTACAGGCAAAAAACTGGTAGTGCCCCTGCGCTGGTGAGTATTCCACAAGCTTCTTCATACGGTTGTGACACTGTAACTCACTCCTGACCCGCAACAACACGTGGTATCCTGGTCATGGCCCCTTGTCCTGACTTTCGGCATGCCCACATGCTCCTAAGCATAGACTGCATGCCATAGACTACGGTGGCCTTGTGTGTCTTATTATGATAATGTGCACTGTGACTTTGCTTATGCCACGAAATTCGTTTCACTTCTCACCTCCCAGTCTATGCTGCATTTACCCACTGCCACATCTAGCACACGGCCCCACTTCACATGGCTTTTATTTGTCCCCACCAAACTCCAGTGCTGGATTTGCCCCTTTCTAGCATTTCTTCTTTGTTCCCAGCACCCACGGCTCCGTACACTCCCAGCCCCTCCTTTCTCCCTTTTGCACATTTCTTGTTTCAGGAACTCCTTAATTCCATTTCTGAATCTGCTGCCGGTTGGGCTCCTGGCCAAGCATTTAGGTGACCCTGTCTGAAGCTGTTTAAAGACTTTTTGGATGTTCTCACTTAAGAGGAAAATCACAAGCCCTTTCAATCTGGTGCTAGAACAAGGCGGGAGCGGTGCTATTGCTGATGCAAAGCCTTCAGTGTTGTTAGTGTGTGTGCATGTGTGTGTACATGTGTATATAAATGTTTGAAGAGTTTCTTCATTTTGAAAGATCTGAGCCCATGTTTGTCACTATATTGTCAGCCTTAATCCAGCTACCGGACACTGTGTCCATCTTGCTGCTGCTGCTGTTTCTATATAATGCTGGTTTGGAGGAATCAAAAAAAAACAAACAAAATCTGGTTCCCCGGTCAAAATCTTTGTGCATGAATTGCTGGTGGCATGGGTCTTCGTACAATATTGTTCAGGGATGGAATTTTATTTTTCTAATTGTTTTTGCTGTAAAAGCCTTTTAGGGGTGGGGGTGGGGGTGGGGGGATGGATGTAAACTTTCTGTACATTAAACAAGATTTGAGCTTTATTTAAATAAGGTGAAGGTTGACTTAGAGGTGGGGCATAAGCGAACTCTTACCAAAAGGAACCTCAGCCTTGCTGCTGAATGATCACCCTCTCTCATCCCCCATCCTCCCTTAAAGATGCACACATCCTTCCTCTCTCTGCCCAGATTTATTATGCATGTCCCAAGACCCTGGACAGTCTTCCCATGATTCTGTCAGCTCTGAATTAAGAGTATCTTGGATTCCCAATGCTACTTTTCCAGAGCGTGGCTGTATCGGTGGGTGTGATGTATATTGTTAAGGGAGTGGAGAGAGTTTGAAGGACAAGTTGTCATATGCTATAATAGCCCAGACCTAAACGTAAGCATTCCTGGCACATAAGCAGGCAGAACTCACTGCAGTTCAGTCCGCTTACTCAGTGGCAAATTTTGGCCTGTGAATGTCCAAATCCCACTCCCTATTCCTTGGTGACAGTAACATTGTGAAACATTGCCGAACTAGTTGGGGGTCTCTAAAGGGATGCAGCTGGGAGCCTGTGCTGCCTCTGGATATCTCTGGATACTGCTATATTTCCCAGCCACCCTTCCTGGAAACATCCTAGTCTTAACTTCTATCCCGGGTGTCTGTAAGAATATCAGAAAGTACCTATTTGGTCAGTGCAAGGAACCAGTTTCCACAAACGCTGCCTCCAGTAGTGACTATCAAATCCTCTGTGTCCTTGGATGGGTGGGGAGGGGTTTGAGGTACCTGCTGGTAGAAGTAGGTACTTGGGGAGGGTGGGGAATGATAAAGAGGAGTCCTAAACCTTCTCCTACAAAAGAAATGTTGTATGTTATCTGTATGCTTGTTTTGGGCTCTAACGCTGTACAGTTTAGTTACATTGTGCTCCAGTTATGGGGAACTCTGTCCCCAGGAGGTTTTTAGTTCATGCTCTGTGTTTAAAGAGGATTATTTTTCTTTAAAAAACAAAAGAAAAAAATACCAAAAAAAACGAAATTATAAATCTCACTTAAATGTGTCTTTTATTTGTGTGTGTGTGTACACGTGTAGGGGGGAGGGGGAGACCACGGGTGTGAGCGCATGTGTACCTTGCAATCAAGCTGTGATCTCAAAGCTACACAGAGTTAGCAGACAACTCACGGCAATGCAAGTTGCCCCCATGCAGTTCCTCACCAATGAGATGCAACCCTGACCTGGAGGGAATCGCCTTTAAGGTGAGTGGGAAACTCGATCGTCTTGGCCATTGAATTCTTTCTCTTCCATTGAGACTACCAATCAGGGTGTCGGCTGTGAATCAGGATTTTGTGATGTGGACAGGTATCCATTAGAAATTAACTTGAGACCCACTAACAGGCACTATGTCAGCCACTGACCTGCCACCGAGCTGTTGGTAACTTTCATTTCTAGCTTGCTAGAACATCAGTAGTGAGAGAGAGAGAGGGTCTGTTCCCCATTATCAGTCCTTTAATCGTCTAGACTCATCTCAGCTGAACGTATCCGTTACATTCATTAGCACAGGAGATGTGTTCGATAAGGTGTGCTAGAAAAATTAGGCACTTCCCCTTTCAGTGCTTTCTTATTGATGATGTGTGTCCATCAAAGAAGCATTTTTCAAATTCTCCTTTACTGTTTGGGATTCCCGCTGCCTACCCATAGGAAATGGACCAGAATGTCTTTTTAATGGCGAGAGTTTGTTCCTGCTACCTGTGTATGGTCCCCTATTTATTCTCCATTATCAGTCCGGCCACCCAGTGGTAAGTAACTAGCCTATGATCCCAGTACTAGTCTCTCACTCCAGCTAGCTAGCTGGGATGCACTATGCAGGTTGGGTTTCCCTGTGCCAAATACAATGCAACTTAAGCATAGAAAAATGAGACTGGGGAATAGATCCTGACATAACCGCCTAGCATGGTGGGGTCTCAGCATTGATGGGAGCCTTTGGACGCTATTGCAAACTACATAGTCGTTATAAATACTGGCGTAATGGGAAACTGCTTTATAATCCTACTATCTAATGTCTTGATTTCATAGATGTATTCGTTTTAAAATGTCTTTGGCACCTGATTTTTAATTTAGAGGAAGTAAGAAAAATGTGGTTATTTGTGATAGCTGTCTTGGTGGCAGCCCCACATGGTAATACCCCAGAGCTGCATTGGTGTGTAAGATCAGGCCACTGCTCCCTGGACAGGCTGGGGCGCGGGAAGGATGACTTTCAGCTGGCTGGGTGGGATGCAAAATGCACGGCTCACAAGCACCCTCCCTTACCTCCATTTCAAAGCAATAGCGTAGAGGATGGGACATCATGACAACCCAGAATGGAAGTGCTACAACTCCAACACGGACTGAGCCAATATCTTTGCATTACTACTTGGGAGTCCTGAGCCTCCTTGTCATGGGGCCTGGCAAGATGAGGAGAGGCCCATGATTCAAGGCAAGGAGGAAGTCAAGGTTAGAGAGCAGAGATGGGGAAGATTGAGAAAGATCATGCTTGGAAGCCTGAACCCCTCCAGTGAAAGGAAAGCCATTTCCTATAGCTATCTTAATGTTCTTAATTATTAGCCACATTCAGTTGCCTCTTTTGGTAGCCTTTGTCATTTAATCTCCTCTGAGGCAGGGACTCGTACTATTTGTAGGTAAAGCACCTGGCACCATCGGGCCTGATCTCAGCTGCGACCTCTGGGCAATACTGTAATACAAATAGTAATTTGCCATTATGTCTTCCAGTGTTTCATAGGCAAAGGCGTGTATGTGAGAGAGAGAGAGAGTGAAGATGCTTAGATCCTGGTTCTGCAATCCTGACACATGCAAGTAGTGTTATTTACTTCCATGGCACAACTTTGCATGAGTAGGGATTAGTCATGTGAGTGCATAAGGGCCACTAGACTGAGCCCCCCGAACTCATGTGCAAGCTCTTCAGTATCAAGGTGGTCCAATTCTGACAACAGCCTTGTGATTTGTGTTCTCCTTTGGCAGGGTTTTGCTTATACTTGTCACCTAAACTTATGTTTTCATTGCTCTTAATTCTTGTTTTAATTTTGTAGTGGAAGTTAAAATATTGAAAGATCTGAGTGGGTTAAGATCTCTTTATTGTGTATGGTTTTTTCCCTTCCATTTCATGCTAGAATCTACTGGATAGTTTTAATTCCTTCTCATCTCAAGGCTCAGTGTTTTGAATTATAATAATCCTAGAACAATCAAAGTTAAACAGAAAAGACCTATTTATGTCCTTAGTAATCCTCCCTGTATGTGGAGCATTGTTCCTATAATACTTCATATCACTTTAGTCTAAGGATCTAAAAATGCTTCACAATCCCTGTTAGGTAATAATACAGAAATGGAGATACAGAGCGGGTAAGAGTCTTTTTCCCAGTGAGGCAGTGGCAGAATTGAGAATTTGAGTTAGAAAATTTTCCTAATATCTAACTCAATCTCCCTGCTGCAGAATAAGCCCATTATGTCTTGTCCTATATTCAGTGGACAAGGAGAACACTTGATCCCTCGTCCCCTTTATAACAGCTCTTAGTCTTCAAATATGTTACCAGGTCGTCCCTCCCTCAGTCTTTGTTTCTGAAGACTAAACATGCCGAGTTTTTTTTTTTAACTGTTCCTCATAGGTCATGTTTCCTAAACCTTTTATCATTTTTGTTGCTCTCCTGGACTCTCTCCAACTTGTCCACATCTTTCCTAAAGTGTGGTGCCCAGAATTGGACACAGTACTCCAGCTGAGGCCTCAACAGTGCCGAGGAGAGCAGGACAACTACCTCCCATGTCTTAAAACCAACACTCCTGTTAATACATCCCAGAATATTTGCCTTTTCCGTAACTGCATCACATTGTTGACTCTCATTCAATTTGTGATCCACTAGAACCTCCAGATACTTTCCAGCAGTATTACCACCAAGCCAGTTATTTCCCCTCTTTGTAGCTGTGTATTTGATTTTTTTTTTCTTCCTGTCAGGTATTATTGGAATTTCATGGGTCTATAGTTCAGAGCAGTGGTAGTAATGTAATCTCATTGCAGTGTGCAAGTACTTGAAGACCATGTAACTCAATTCCTCCTGCAGAGGAGATTTACCTCTATAATCCATACATATTTGCTTACAAACCAGCCTCAACAGAAACTGTTTCAAAGGAGAGCTATCATTTAGGGGTGGGGATATTTCATCCTGAATATCTTTGTGCTATTTCTGCCCTCATTACTTTATGGGCATTTTTAAGTCCGAAAGTGAAGATAAGAGATTTAGTAATCAATTAAACATAGCATGACAGCTTTGTGTGATCCACTAGCATCAAGTTTTCACTGCTTTGATACAACAAAATGACACTGATCAACGTTATCCCTCTCATTGACTCTTATAGTTTAGTGTTTGGTGAATTGTTGAGCTTGTGAATGTGACAGACTGTGATAAGAGACCGGCATAGTGTGGGCAGGAGCTGCCGTAGCCCTGTAGTATTCTGTCACTATGCCGCCTTCAGCTATGGGCCCATCCAGCAGACCTCATCCTCTACCTGATATAAAGGGAGGCTGCTGGGGTTTCTAAACTGGGGGTGTTGTAGGGTGGATAAAGAGCGCTAGATTGAGCCTGGTTGATCACTTTGACTTGTGGCCTAACTCAGATCGGAGGGTTTCAAGACCCATGTGTTGATTCCTTAGAGATTACTTACTATCAGCATATTGAGAAAGTTACCAAACACTTTACTTTTTTTTTATCACTCCCCAATTTTCCTTACTCGCCTCTACCTCACCCACCCTGCAAAACATATCCAGTATAATTGCTAATTTAATTTTCACATTTAAATTAATAGATGTATAAATCTACTAGTAAATAACTTTTATATTCACAGAGTATCATTGACCCCTACTTTGTCATTCAAATATTGTTTACAGGTTTGCTCTGGTAGAAGTCTAGGACTTTTGCCACTGATTTCAATGGGAGGAGGTTCACCTGTCCACATTAAATTACTTTAAATTATTTAATATCTTTTCATAAGCATCGGGGTTGTTGGCACTAATTTTAAACTTTCCTGTGGTAGACCTTAAACCATCTTGCATTCTCTTCTTGATCTTGGTTATCTGTGCTCAAGGCCTCTCCCATCAACTAACTCCCTTTTAACTGCTCAGCAACTGCACTTTCTTTCTGTGGCTGAATTTATAGTCCCATCTAAGAAAGAGGCAAGTAGGTGCTGCTGTGTGTATTCTTTTAAATTTACCATCAGGCCCCTTCAGGGAGACCCTAGGGGCTGGGCCCACAGCTTTCTGTACTAGAACAAAATCCCCCAGGCACAGCCTAGTGTCCTGGAACAGGATTGAACTACCCCCAGCATTATCGGAGCTCAAGGCACTCCGTGCCCTTGGGAAGGGGCTATGCTGCAGTCGAGCTAGATACTGTTTGGTTCACTTGTTTTAGAGGCAATAGGTCCCTACAACAGTCTGCTCTCAGGGCACTGCTGGGCTTGTGCAATCTCCCAGAATGCTCTGCAGTTGGCAGCTGAGGTACTGCCTACTGGTGATTGTACCTCTGGGGACTTACAGCTGCCCTGACTTAGGGTGATTACAGGCTGAGCCTGAATGTGGTCCAGCCCTGCTCAGGGGGAGGCTTGAACTAGTTCCCTTACAAACAGTTCAGGGGCCTAGTGTGGACAAGGCCTTCCTGCACCCTCCTGGGGCCTCCACTCCCTCAGGGCCTGGGCCTATGGCCAGAGGGGATCTCTTAGAGCAGGGCCCTGCTCCCTTGGGGCCATCCTGCTGCAGGCCCTTCTCCCTGGAGCTGAGGAAAACTTCAGCCCTGACACAACTCTCTCTCCTGCAGGCAGATGGCTGAGCCCGGGTTTGCAGCTGGTGAGTTTGGGTGGGGTCGGGGGGACACTAGCTTTGCTTACGCCCCCTCAGCCTGGTCCCTGAGCGGGGGGTGCAGGTGCCACCGGCAACCTCTTGACCTGCTGCTGTATTTGGGTTTTTTCGTAATGAAAGCAAGGGCGTGACCTGGCCCTGACCCTAAACCAGCGCCAGGAGCTCTGGCAGGCGGGGGGCGCCCCGGGCAGGACACAAGTGCAGGCAGGGAGCCGGGCGCAGACAGGAGCCTGAGCGGGGCAGCGCAGGACACCGCGTGCCCAGGCTGGGACCCAGCAGCGACCCGCGCAGCCGGGACCCCCCGTTCCCTCCTCCAGCTCCGTGCGCCCCCGGCGAGGGGCGCGGAGAGCGGGTGCCATGGACGGCGCAGCGTCCGGGGCGCTGGGTCCCCAGCCGGAGCCGCCGGTGGGAGCCGGGCAGGGCGCGGGGGAGGCTGCCCCGGAGCCCGCCGCCCCCCAGAAGCCCCCTTACTCGTACGTGGCGCTGATCGCCATGGCCATCCGGGAGAGCCCGGAGCAGCGGCTGCCGCTGAGCGGCATCTACCGGTACATCGTGGGGCGCTTCCCCTACTACCGGCTGGGCCAGAAGGGCTGGCAGAACAGCATCCGCCACAACCTCAGCCTCAACGCCTGCTTCCTCAAGGTGCCCCGGGAGCGGGGCGCCGAGCGCAAGGGCAGCTACTGGACCCTGGACCCGGCCTTCCACGACATGTTCCAGCAGGGCAACTACCGGCGCCGGCGGCGGGTCAAGAGACCCCAGCGGGCCCCTCTGGGGGGGCCCGGCCCGGCCCCCGCCTGCCTCACCTGCCAGGAGCTGCCCTACCACCTGCCCCACCAGAGCCCCCCGGCCGCCTACCTGGTGGGCAGCGCCTGGGCGTCCCCGGGGCAAGCCCCGCCGAGCTGCCCCCCGTGCACGGTGCCCCTGAGCGGCTACGGCCCCTACCCGCGGCTGCTGCTGCCCGGAGGGGTGGCGCATCAGCAGCTGAGCCCTGCGACGGGGGGGGCCGGCTGTCCTTACCAGCAGCCCCCGGAGCTGCCCTTCATGCGTTACTGGGGGGAGCAGGAGAGACCCTACGGCGCCTTGCCCGCCGGCATAGACCTTTGATTCCTGGCCGTCGGACAGGAGCGGGCAGTGGGTCTCCCCTTCCCCCTGCTTCTACTCTGAGCGTTGCGGGGAGCCCAGGCTGCGTTTGGATTGATAACGGGGACCCCTCCCTTGTCAAGGCAATAACGGAAGGGGTGTCACAGGCAGGCGAGATTTGATGCGCGCTGCCGCTAAAGATAAATCGTTGAAAGGTTTTGGGGGAGCCTCGCTGGAGGAAGGAGGTGCAAATTCGGTTGAAAGGGGAACAACGTTTTTGAAAAGAGGCGCCACAGCGGAATGGACTTTGGGAGTGAGCCTGTACTTCCCTTGCTTTGAAAAGGGGAGGAACTGGGACAGTACCCCATTAAGATTTGTGTTTACATTGATAAACTTCGAAGTTCAAATGAATACAGTGAGGTGTGAGTTTCACCCTGCAGCTCTAACTCTCCAAATTGATTCTTCTCCGGGCAGAGGATCCTAGAGGATATTATTTGTTCTGCAAAACTAGACCCTAATATTTTAGAAATTCCCTGTCTGCAAAGTATTTGAAATAACTTGGGGTCAAAACTTTCTTGTTCCAAGGAAACAATGACGCGTTTCAGACATGTTCCCTGTTAGTTATATAGTTATTGTAGAAGGTGTAATGTGTTGTTTGAGTCAGAATAGTGTTAACATTTTCAGAGACGTTTATTTGTGAAAGCCGCTTTAAAATATGCAGTTACTGAAGAAGCATCAAGGACAATAGATTTGAAAACGGTTGGTTGATTGGTACATCTGTTAGGAATTAAAAACCCGTCTATATTCTTTTGGATTATTGAAGTGATTTAAAGTATGCTGCCTTGTTCATTCTTTCCGGTGGCTCATGAGAAACGTGAATTCTCCACTGCATAACCGTTGTTTCTTTTATTGTGTTAAATTCAGTGGTACTAGTGAAACTGGAAATGCCTGACCTTGGGCTGTTAACTGAAAGCAAAAGAAGTTGATCAACTGACATTCCATTTTTAAGTCAAGTCTGAGAAATTGTTTTGGGAACTGAAAGTAATGTGCCATCATTTTAAAAAGTGAAATGTAGTTACTTTCTGGAAAATACTTTTTGCAAATGTCCTTCAAAACTTGATTACTGAACTTTTTTTTTTAAGTCACTATGTAAAGGAATACCTTTTTTTTATTTTTTTTTTAAGATGTTAAATACCAAAGACTTTTGGGATAGATATGATCCTTATGTTTTTATATTTAAGGATAAACTATTTGGGTTGACGTGAAGTCAGAAGGCATTTTATATACTGTTCCTTGTTAGTATAGTTATTGTGAACATGTTTATATAATGGCAATGCAGCAGTGCTTTTGTCATTTACATTTCAGGGGTGGCTTCAGCTCTTTTCCTGCCAAAAAAAGATTCTAAACGCAAATAGTATTTCTAATAGAAATCGCAGGTTGGTTTGTTATAGAAACGAATGGTTGAGATACTATCAGTGTGCATAGCAGCATTTTCTGGTGTGTTACATTTTGAGACTTGTTTAAATAAATATTGGTTACTTTATAAAACATATGGCTTTATTTAAACTAGTTTTTTACTGTGTTGACTTCCCTCCCGCCTTGATTTAAAAGAATGTGTAACCCAAACTAGACCAGAGTTCTAATATTTAATCTTTAAAGTAGTTTTGAACTTGTTCTTCTTCAAAATAACTTCCATAATACAACACAAACAAACTTTTAGCAACCTTAGTAGATGTTAGTTATGGGACTATCCTTTGGTGAAGCAAGTGTGTATATAAGAAATATCCATTTGTTGCAGTATTAAGATTTTCAGAGAAATAAGTAATTTTCCACTGTTGCTTTAATGTGAATCCTAATATATTGTTCAACAAACCACCTGTTGATTATAGTTGAACTTCGGGTATTAAATGCAGGAAAAAAAGCTACACAGAGAAATAATTCTGGAATTTTGCAGTTGATAAGTTCCATGGAAAAGAGGTTTTTCCCTCACTGAAGTTAATCCACTTTTATGAGATGCGGTAGCTAGGTTGGTAGAAGAATCCTTCTATTGACCTAGCTGCATTTACACGTCGGGGGGCTAGGTCGACCTAACTACGGTGCTCAGGATGCAAAATTTTTCACAGCGCTGAGCAGCTTAGGTAGGTCAATCCAATTTTGAAGTATAGACCAGGCTTTAGACTCCCCTAGAAGTTAATGAGAGACAAAGACAGACTACAGAAGAGGCAGCGGAAGGAGTAAAATAAACTGTAGAGACCTGGGATAAATTCAATGTGTTACTGGAGCCTCTGCTAATGTGGAAAAAAATTCCATCGTCACTGTTAAGGGTGTGTGTGTGTGTGTGTGTGTGTGTGTGTGTGTGTG